AGTGTACAGATGGCGCAGCACGTCTTCCAGGGCGGGGTGCTCATCGAACACGATGGCGGACACACCATTCCCAAATTAGGTGAGACATGTGGCTGGCTGGACGAGGGATGGATGGATGGGGGTGGGTGACTGACTGCAATGCATTCATTGTGCGCGTGTGTTTGTTTGTTTGTGTCTACGGTGCAGATGCTACGAAGGGTCAGCAGCTGCGTCACTTCCTGATGGCTCACATGGCGAATTCGCTGCTGTGAGATGTCAGTGGATGGGGCAGGGAGGATGCTGGCGCGGGGCTGCTTGATCGATCCATGGGTTGGCGGAGTGGATGGGTGGGCGGGCGGTAGGGTTGGTCGAGTCGGCTTCCTGTGTGTCGATAGCTAGATGCCTAGATGTGCGATGCGAGGGTGTCATGCCTGCTTAGCGCTCCTGTCCATGGCATGGCTGACTCAGCGACGAATGTCCGTGTGTGTTTCTTCAGAGTGTGTCTGACCAGCTTTGTACATCACCCAGCAACGAAGTGGTGAAGTGGTCACGGACAAAGTACGACAGAGACACATACAGGCACACGCACTCCGAACACCCTCCAAGGTCGGTAAGATCGGCCGTATTCACTAGCAAGTCCGTGCAGCCATGTAGCCGCACCATTCCGCACCATCACTGTACATTAAGTGCCATCCAGTGCGATGCATGCAGGAGGAAAAAGTCAGACAGGCGATGTGTGGACAAGAGAACCCCCCGGTCAGCCGGTCAGCCGGTCAGCCGGTCAGCCGGTCTGTCTGTCTGTCTGTTTGGCTGTATGTCTGTCTGTCTGTCTGTCTGTCTGCGACGAGCCTCAGCTCTGCGTAGGTGCGCCAATCACACGCACCTCAATCGTCACGCCGCCAGTGGCACGGTTGTAGAAGGGCAGCTTGGCGAGGGACCGCCACTCTCTGACAAACAGAATGGCCATCACCAGGACGCAGAGGGTGGGCATCGAGAGCGTAGCCGTGAGCCAAAGGGCCAAGCTGTCGGTCGTGTACAGCAGGGCGAGCGTCAGCGACGTGCGGAAGATGGTGTGTTGCACCACTGGCAGCCACAGGAATGATGCATAATCGATGAGCGACGGACTCTTGGGTACGCCGTCGGGGCTGGAGAATACGAATCTGGCGAGCCGGCACGAGGCGTATCCGGTGCTGGCGATGTGACCGGGGACGAACAGAAGTGAGCGACTAAGGGCCACGAAGAGGGCGGACGCCATGCTGATGCGGCTGCGCTTGATGACACTCCTCTTGATGTTGTCCGAGCAGACGAAACTGCATCACGTCCGTGTGCTTTTTGCGTATTCTCTCTCACCCAGCAGCCGACGCCACGCCGACCAGTGCTATCGCATACGGAGTATCGACCACTTTCCACCAACACGCACACGCACGGGGCAGCGCAGCCTCCTCCAGCCGCACCCGCGACATCGCAATGGGAAGCTTGCACTGAAGCACACAGACGCAGCAAGGCGCATCCACTAGTACATGTGCGCCTGCTCAGAAATAGACTCACAACTTCCTGAGAGAGGCCGACGATCAGAACTTTGCACAGCAGATGCGCCGCGAGGCAATAGAAGATGGGGTACCCCACCAGATGGCTGCTGTCCGTGTCGTCACCATCGATATGGCACCCGTCGAAGACGCCCAACACGTGCCCGACAAGACGCCGGATGTCGTTCAAGCACCCCGCCACCAGCGCTGCAGCACATCCCGTCCACATCATGTCCAGCAGCAGCTCGAAGGGCATCTCGTGGCTGTGGCCCGCGTAGAAGAGGGAGATGATGCCGGCCGCCGGGGTGACGCTCACACAGAAGAGGAGCACGCCCATCCAGCCATCCCACGCGTAGACGAAGGTCAGGAAGGGCACCAGAAACGCGACAAAGACGCACCACCCGGCAAAGGTCAGGAGCCTGACGGTTCTGGCGGACCTGACGGACCTGACGGTGTCGCCGCGCAGCTGGCGCAACACTTCTGCACACCACACGGGGGAAACAAACCACGGGAGATGCCATCCATCTGTGTATTGTACGTCATGGCTCCCCTGACCTCGGCTTTGTGTGGTGACATCTTCCTCTTCTTCCTCAGGCACTGAGGGCGAGATGAAGGGTGCGACCTCACTCTCACACGTGGGCCGCTCCATAGCCAATACTGCCAGGATTCAAAACACTGCGAGCCGTCTGTAAACCCGCCCTTCCTGGCCGCACCAAAAGATATAGATCCGCCTTTGTTGAAGTTGCTGTGTGCCGAACACACACCGTGGTCAGAAGGATCAGACGGAGCCCTCGAATCTCGCCTTAATTTCGCCCTCACGCCAACAGCATCACACAGAGGTCCGCGTCAGAGTCCACATCATCAAGAGCACGGCAAAGAACAGACAGAGTCCGGGCTATATACAACCGGGAAAACCCTGCTGGTGACGGGCAAGCTATCGTCTCCCAGCGCCAGGGTGGAGATGGCAGGCACATCTCCCTCCGCTTCAGCAGCACTGCTCTACTCGTACGCTACTGTGCGGCGACAGGCACGTCCTCTCTCATCAGTGGCTCATCAGCAAAGAACTGCGCAAGCAGAGGCAGCGAGGGGCGAGAGGAAGAACAGCAAAGAAAAGCCAGGCAGCATCGCTGAGCGTTGGGCAACGGCCACACAAAACAACGCACACAAAGCTCGCCAACTCAACACCCCTTCTCACCTCACGGCAAAGCTGAGAGGTGGACAGTCACGCAGAGAGAGAATGGGCAGTCAGCAGAGAGAGAAGAGCGAACTGAACACAACGCCTGAAAAGTATAGCAGGGCACATAGCAGGGCACATAAGACTGTACACAAGCGACACAGAAGCATTCACATGGTGCAAAAGCACTTGTGCACAATCAACGGCAAGCCGCAGAGTGTAGCAAAAACACAGCAGAAAGACAAGCTCTTGCACTTCACTTCACACACGTCTTGTCTTGACACAGCGTCAGCAATGGCATCAGTATCTTCCCCTTCTCTCGTCATCAGTATTTTCCCCTTCTCTCGTCGTCAGTCCGACGTGGGTCCACAAAAACACCGAATAAAGAAAGGCGACCACAACGAAAAAGACGATAGAGATGCCGAAGGTCCGCCCGTAGAGATGCCGAAGGTCCGCCCGTCTTGGCGCGCCCATGTTGAAGTTGCTGTGTGCCGAACACACACCGTGGTCAGAAGGATCAATCTCTGCCGTACGAGCCTTCACGCAAGGCAAGCAACGCACGAGTCCATCATGGGCATGGCCAGCCCGCCAAGCAACACACGCACGAGAGCTGCCAACGGTCACCGGAAAGCACGAAATAGAGAGACAGGTCTGCAAGCTAAGCAAGCACAAACCCTGCTATCAAAACCCAACACCCCTTCTCTCGTCATCAGTATTATCCCCTTCTCTCGTCGTCAGTCCGACGTGGGTCCACAAAAACACCGAATAAAGAAAGGCGACCACAACGAAAAAGACGATAGAGATGCCGAAGGGCCGCCCGTAGAGATGCCGAAGGTCCGCCCGTCTTGCTGCGCCCATGTTGAAGTTGCTGTGTGCCGAACACACACCGTGGTCAGAAGGATCAGACGGAGCCCTCGAATCTCGCCTTAATTTCGCCCTCACGCCAACAGCATCACACAGAGGTCCGCGTCAGAGTCCACATCATCAAGAGCACGGCAAAGAACAGACAGAGTCCGGGCTATATACAACCGGGAAAAACCTGCTGGTGACGGGCACGCTATCGTCTCCCAGCGCCAGGGTGGAGATGGCAGGCACATCTCCCTCCGCTTCAGCAGCACTGCTCTACTCGTACGCTACTGTGCGGCGACAGGCACGTCCTCTCTCATCAGTGGCTCATCAGCAAAGAACTGCGCAAGCAGAGGCAGCGAGGGACGAGAGGAAGAACAGCAAAGAAAAGCCAGGCAGCATTGCAGAGCGTTGGGCAACGGTCACACAAAACAACGCACACAAAGCTCGCCAACTCAACACAGGAAAGTCTCAGGAACCGAAGCTACCGAAGCTGTAGGCCAAAGTGTTCGCCTTCTAAAAATCCGTCTCGCCGTCTATGATCTTCTCGCCGCGATTCTCGCCGCGTGGTCGCGGTGGTTTTTCCCTATTTTCTCTGGTTTTTGGCGTCAGCAGCTGGCGCGTGCTGGATGAGGCGAACACCCACCGCGGGTAGCTGCTAGGCTCACTCTGCCAGAACTGAGACTGGGGGCGGCAGAGGCGCATGCAAGGGGGTTTTCAGTCTCACAAGAAGAGGTCCTGGTGTTCTGTGAGACGTGTGAATCGTCGAGTTGCATTGGTTTGCAGTGGAGACGAGGTTTGTCGCGTGGAGTCCGTCTCCGAGCCATCGAGGCGACGATGGACTGTGGCGTGGCAGCGGGAGGGTGCTGCACCCCACCCCCAGCACACATTTCCGTGCCCAACCCGTTCGACAGTCCGCCAGAAGGGGGCGACCAGACGCCGGGGAGAGCTGCAGGCGACGGCGGGAACAGGGCGGGAGACGGCGACTTGGAGCCGGGGCCTGAGGCGGAACGACGCGTCAATATCAGCGTGAGTTCGGCGGCTATGGAGGGGCCACTGCAGTGCGGCAAGAGAAATATGAAGAAGGTAAGACAAAGTCAGCAAGGGAACAACATTGCACTGAAGAAATAGACACGTGTGTGTTCCTGTTACCCGCCTGCCTGCCTGCAGTGGCCACGGACGGTGCTCGAAAATGTGACCGGCAACGGCTGCTACCTCAACGCCAGCCTGCAGGAGATCATGCGTGTGCAGCCGTTCGCCGCCAACCTCATCCAGAGTAAGCAGACAGCTTCATTCATTCATCAATTGATGAGGGAGGGACTCGTTCGTCCACTCTCTCCCCTGCCTGCCTGCCTGTCTGCAGATATGGAATATCTTGTTGCACACAAGGAGGAGATCATCGACAGATATGAGGCCTCAGTGCCGTCACTGACAGGTAGGTACACACGTGCACGTGTGTCTGGCCAGCCTTTCTTTCTCTCTCCGCACGTGTGACCGCATGTATGCGTCTGTGTGTGTGTGTGTGTGTGTGTGTTCCATTCATGCAAATATACACACAGAGAGGAACGAGCGGGAGGCACAGCTGCCCAAGGGGACCTCGCATCGGGACCTGCAGACCGACCCGAGGACGTCCCTGCTGTGGGAAACGGTCCTGCTCAACTCGTGAGCAACATACATGTCCCTCCACTCAATGCAGTCATTGCTGCAGTCATGTACTCATACTTATCTGTGGATGGATGGATGCACTCACTCTTGTCTGTCTGTCTCGTCTGTGTGTGTGTGTGTGTGGTGTTTCTGTATGCAGATATATGTGGGGCAAGACGGAGCAGGAGAAGGCCACACCGTCCGGAGAGGCCCCGACGGTGTGCCTCCGCCCTGAGAGCATGTATCGCACCCTCGTCCGCTCCTCCCACCACCTCGGTATGTGAAGTAGGCAATCAATCAGTACATGATGTGATGTGTTTGCCTCCCTCTATACCCTTCTTCGTTGCCTGCAGGGATGGGCACTCAAGAGGACGCCGCAGAGGCCATCGAGTGTCTCCTCAAGACGCTCCACCAGGAGCTCGTGGCAAGTACGATAGACACATCTGGACGGATACACATGAGTGGATGTGTGTGTGTGTGTGCCTTCCTGCCTGCCTGCAGTTCAAGAGCTCGCGAGGACGAGGAACAGTGGAGCCCCCAAAGACATGACACTCAAGGAGGCCGGCAAGGACACGACCACTAGCACCGCCGCGTCGAAGATATTTGGAGGTAGGCAAGTTCGCGAATCCGTTCACGGGCCAGTGAGTCAGTGAGTCAGTGAGTGAGTCCTGTCTGTCTGTCTGTCTGTCTATGTCTGCTGGCTTTGTCAGGGGCCCTCGAGTCGGTGGTGACATGCTGTGAGTGTGGGAACGTGACGAGACGACGAGAGCAGATGTTCAATCTATCGGTCCAGATACCGGTGCGTATGCAGATACTTACTATACATACATACATACACATACACACATATACACACACGTCCGTGTGCAGAAGAAAGCTGTTGATCTGACTGGGGATGGGGGGGAGGGTGAGGGCAAGGGTGCCGACGCCGGAGGCTGCATACACTCATTCTTCCAGAAGGAGACCATGGCGGGCGACAACAAGTATGTATGCACGCACCTGGGAGGGTCTAAGAGACGGACCGAGGGAGGGAGGGAGGGATGGAGGGGACACACATTCGCAGACGAACGTCTGTCCGTCTCTGTCCGTATATCCATCCATCTCTCTCTGTCTGTCTGTCTGTCTGTGCACTCATTGTTGTGTAGATATCAGTGCGATAAGTGCTGCAAGAAGGTGGTGGCCACTCGGCAGTACGTCATGGCTGAGACGCCAAAGCTTCTGCCACTCCACCTGAAGCGCTTCCAGGGGCTCGGCAAGGTACACACACACACACACTCGGTGCCAAGCGTACAAGTGCGGCCATGCACCTATGCAGAACGAGGACCACGTAGATCTGCAGGAGCAGCTCGACTTATCGCCGTACACCGACCGTGTCGACGACGATGGCCACGAGGCAGAACCGCACGAGCTCACAGGTGGGTGGGTGGGAGGGTGGATGTGAACAGAGTTAGTCACCGTCCATCTCTCTACCCATTCATTGATTCATTTATTTATGCGTGCGTGGTGTGTACGAATGCAATGAATCATTCGCTCAGGGGTGATCGTGCATCACGGCAGGAGCCTGAAGGGGGGCCACTACACGGCGTGCGTCCGAAGGCTTGTTGGAGGCAAAGGTGAGCCAGAACTCTTCTCGCTGTTCGAGTCTCGCTCGCTCCCATGTCGCGTTCTTTGGATGAATGTATTGTGCAGCCAAGTGGTTTCGTTACGACGACAGCGCGCCCGCTGGTGAGGTAGACCTACAGTTCGTCCTCGGACAGCAGGTGAGGTTCAGGGCAAGGAGGGAGAGAGGAAGGTCTCAATCAACATCTATCTCTCTCTCTCTCTCTCTTTCAATGTATGTCTCTGAATGCCTGTGCAATGCAGGCCTACATGGCCTTTTACACGCAGCCAGCTACCCTCAAGGCCACTGCGCTCCCCATGCTCGAGGACGCCCCGCCACCGCCACCACCCCCAGCGCCTGCTCCTACACCCGCACCGGCCCAGCCAGCAGCCGCACCACCACACATGAATCGCAACAAGAAGCGCGGCGCCAAACCAGACGCCCCCAACCCCAAGCGCAAGAGAGCTGAGGGCGGCCCCAAGGACAAGAACGGCCTGGACGAGCTTGCCGTGCACATCGAGGCCAAGGCGGCAGCGGAGGGCAAAGGCGCCATCCGGCACAGCAGCCGCATCGCAGGCCGCAAGGGCAAGGCCGAGGTCGGACCCGAGCTGCCCAGCAAGACCCAGAAGGCCATCAGCAAGAAGGCCAAGAAGCCGAAGGGCAAGAAGCCGAAGGGCAAGCCAGCGAAGGCTCGTGTGTCGCCTCCTGCCCTCGCCGCCCAGCAGGTTCTCGCCGCCCCGCCCAACCACCAGCAACAGCAGGCTGAGCAGGCCAGGCTCAGCAAGAAGCGCAAGCAGGCAGGGGAGGAGCAGCCGGCCGAGGACAACAGAGGGGGCAAGGTCCAGACGCGGGCCATGCGCCGACGCCTCGCCGCCCAACCCAATCAGCAGTGAGAGGGGAGTGTGCATGTGCCTCAATGCACCGTGACTGTTTGTGAATGCCACGTGTACGATTTTTAATGTATGATGTGTGAGGGGTAGAGAGGCAAAAGTTCACGCACGTGTGTGGGGGATGGCTGGAGGGCGGGGGCAATGCGACACAACGATGGATGGATGTGATAGTTTTGGTTGGATCGTTGGATGGAAGTCATGCACACACGACCACCTTCCACCACAGTCAGCCCATTGCTAGCCCTTTTCCGCTCCTCTTGTCGCTCTCTGAGTCTGAGCTGGGGAGAGGGGCGGTGATGGGCGCTGGCACTGGGGGGTGGGCGCTGTGCGGCATGTCGTGTGGGCGAGACAAGGTGACTGACTGACTGACTGACTAGAAATGAAATGACAGCCGGACGGGTGGCAGAGTGCCCCTCGGGACACACACACAGAGGCACCCAAAGTGCTCGACCAGACAGACAGACAGACCCATTCAATTGACACACAGAGAGGCAGTCGTCCCCATCTCAGTTTGTCATTCATTCATCGAGGCATGTCCACTTAGACATGAAATGGGGCCCACTGCGACATCAGAACACGTGAGGTCCACTGCACATGGGACAACACACACACACATTCCTGCCTACACAACTTGCACTTTGTTCCCGTAAAGGTTTTCTCATCGTCCACATAGGTACATGGTCGAAATAGTGAACTGTCAACCAATATAAAATGCAAGCAGCGATTTGCGCAATCGAGGGCCACCACGTTCTTGCCGCTGATATCTACACAACAATGAGTGCACAGACAGACAGACAGACAGACAGACAGAGATGGATGGATGGATATACGGACAGAGGCGGACAGACGTCCGTCTGCGAATGTGTGCCCCCTCCCTCCCTCCCTCCCTCACCCACCCACCCACCTTGACTCTGTGCAG